CGGCCAGGGGGGAGAGGATGGCGTAGGTCCCTGCCGGGAAGCCAGAGGTGAGCTGTGGAACCCATCATACCCCAGACCTCCCCACCCCAGGAGCCGGCTCCAAACCCTCCGAGACATCCCACCGGGAGCATCCCGCAAGAATCAATATGCAAAGAAGATGCAGCCGGCGCGTTACCTTGGATCATATTGATGTCGGCGGGATTGATGGGGGCTGCCAACATCTTGACGTGGACATCGGAGTCCCCCAGCTCAGCCACCTCGAGGTCCTTTAGCCTGAACAGGGAGACACAAAGGACAAGTGCATTAATACAGGCTTGGCTGATGTCTTCTGCACCTTGGTTTAAGCTGGAAAGAGATGCCAGTATCACCTACACGACACATTAGACTTAAAATGAACAGCACCGTGTTCCCCATCTCATCTACGTTGCTGTAGCGTGGTCTCCTCCAGTGAAGAAACCCAACATCCAACTTAAGACGACCCCATCGAGACTCCTCTGTCCCCAGGGAGCAGCAGGCAGCAATGCCCGTATCCACCCCTAAACCTCACACCTTTAGCCGGGGTTAGGAACAAACCCCAAATACTCCTTTGCACACAAAAAAGCCCCTCCAAGAGGGATGACGTCCCCAACCCCTTTGCCATGAGGCTGTTTTAAATGCGATGAAGATGCTCTTACACCGAGGGAAAAGCGGGGCTGGGTAATTTCGCGCATCTCCCCCCACAAACGCATCCTGCCGGCGTCCATGGCCCCGGGGGAACTGCAGTATAAAACTTTTGGGATACCTTGGGTCTTGCAAGGGGAGGGAAAAGCTCTTCCAGAAAACCCAGCAGCACCATGACACAGACCAAGGGGAAAGAGGAACTGGGAGCTCGATGACTTGCCTGACCCATCTCCCAGCCAGGGCAAACCCATCCAGCCGTGCCCGTTTGCAAGACGGAAGGCAATTTTAACTACATTTAAATGAGCTGGGGGGCTCTGCAAAGGCTGCCAATTTTAAGAGCAGCTATTTGCTGCAATCACACGCCGCAAAGTACGTGTCGTTAGGCACAATACACCAAATTTCTTTTCATGGCTTGGCCTGTGCTGGCAAAGTGGTTTCCCCCTTCCCTCCTCCAAGCTGCCCGGCAGATTTGGAGATGACTTGGAGGTTTGAATTAAATCGCACCGTGCGCATGTCAGAAGGCTTTTAGCACATATGAATTTGCATCGCCGGCTGCAGCTCTGGCTATAGGTGCTACACATGCTCCAATAATGGTTTTGGATGAGGGCATCAGGCTCCAGCTCTTGCTTTCAGCAGCAGCCACCCAAACAGAAAGCCCACAGCCTGCACCTTTGCTGAGCATCCTTGCTACACGGGTGCATCCCCAAGCACAGAAATCCTCCGTCTGCATCATGCAAATCCCCCCCCTCGCCGTCACTCCGGCTGTCCCGACCCTGCCCAGCCATCTCACGAGGTCTCTGGCTTTTGCGAGTATTCTCCTCTCCTAATTAGCAATTAGGATGATGAGACACGAGGGAGGCTCCCAGGAGGGTCCAAAAACCTCACTTGGAGAGTTTGGCATCGGCGAGGTGCAGGATACGGCCCTGCAGCCACTGAGTACGACCAAGAGTCCTGACTTGAGTGGATTTTGCTCAAAACCACGCGGTTTTTGGCAAGGTTATGAATTATGAAGCCAGGTGGGCAGGAGGCAGCAGCGGCTGGTGCGCAAACCACCCGCCAGAAGTGGCCAGATGAAGTTAGCTCCTTGCAAACCCACTTCAAACCGAACTGCAAGGCTTCGGCAGGAAAACACGGTGACTCCATCCTGCTTAAGGTTTAAAAAAAATTAAAAATAAAATACAAATCAGCATTACAAGACGCAGGGACCCATTCGGAGGCGTTGCTGCCGATGGGCGCCCACGCCTCCGGCTCCCCGGCCCCCAGCAATGCCATCTCCACGCTGTATATATTTTTCTGCCTTGTTAGGCAGCAAATTAAATCATTTCGGGTTTTACCACCCTCTGCATGTCCGACTAATTGAAATCCCTTTTTCTTAAATGAGGTTAAATACCGAGGTTAAAGTTAATACCATGCAGCACCTCTGCACAGCCATCAACCCTGTGCCAGCACCTTGGGCATGAATCCACTGCTCAGATTTCCATCCCATTAAAAAAATCAGATTTATATCAGACAGACGGACAGGTTTTTGATGGAGGCTGCTAAAAGCCAACGACCCACCAAAATCCCATGTCACCAAGCAAAGTGACGCTCACTAATCTTAACAAATTCAGCAGGTTGCGCAAAAAAGCTGCTGTTTCAGCTGGCCGGGGGTTTTACGGCTCGTCCTGCCCCGCTTCAGCATTATGGGAACTCGGATATTTTCAGAAATCTGCTAAAAAGAGAAGTCATGAAGCACAAGACCAGCCTTGCACAAGCAAGGGGGTGAAGGCAGCAAATCTCAGGAGCCGTCAGCGGTGATAAGCACCATTGCACAATTAAACGGTCATAAGAAAAAGCAATTGTCCATCCTCAAAAAAACCCCGGGGGTTCGGTGTCTGGATGCACCCGGATAACGTATCGGCACGTCCTAAATTTCTAGGGGTGACCTGAACCGGTTCAAGCAGGGCAGCAAGTCCTCGAGGTCTCCTCCCTTGAAAAAAAGGCATAAAATCCACCAAAATGTGACTTTCCCCTGGCCTTTTTGGCCATTTTAGAAGGAAAATCCCATGGCGATGCCGAGCGTCAGCCGCTGTCCCCCAAAACGATGCGATGCCGACGGGCATGACACCGGCTTGGTCCCGTAATTGGGACCTCAAAGAGAAACCCCCATCAGTGTGATGCAACCGAGGACGAAGCCGGGGCGCAGCGATGCCGGGGGCTCGGCCCTCGCCATCGTACCCCAAATTAAGCAAGAATGGGCTCCCTGGTAAAAACACGTGGTTTTAAGGCAAACTGAAGGAGCGGCAGCAGGCGGGTGGGAGGAGGGAAGGCAAAGCCCTGCATTGAGTATAGTGTTTTGTTACTTTATAGAAGTGGATAGAAAAACAGACAGAGAAGGTGAGACAGAAAATGGAAAGAAGGGAATTCATGGGACTCAAACAGGCAAGGAAGAGGACTGAATAAAAGTCCTTTTGCTCACCATGCACCCATATCGTAAAACACTAGGAGATGGCAACTGATGCCATCTCATTTTGTCCAGCACCCCGCTGTATAAAATCAGATTGACTAAGTGTAGATAATCTTAAATGAACAAGCATCATACAAATTTTCCGCAAAAAACATGTTGTACCAGCGCAAACTCCTCACCTTGGTTTGTTTGCCCTAGCCATTCAGATTGAGCTTCCCTGCAAAAGTTCAAGACACGTGGCCCATGGGTTTCAGCTTTCCTCCTGAAAGCTCTCTCCCAAAAAGGGTGTGACAAGCAGGTTGGATAATACCCATCTGACTAACACAAATCCAAAGGAATGAAAAAAAAGAAGATAAATCTGACCTCAAGAATTAAAGTGACTTTAGCACAAATAATACAAATCAGTAACAAGACAGTCCGGCTGGTATAAGTGGCACAATTATTAATACAATAACCTGGTAGTCAGATAAAAAGTAACAGATTCAGGATGACTGTTCAAAAAGGTTTCAATTTAATACTTGTAAAATGATAGCATGGAAATTATTAAAAGAATTGTGATAATTATAAATAATAATTGTAATTTAAATAACAATAATTATAAATTTTCACATGCTGAGCAGGTTTATCTCAAAATTTCTCTACTATTAATACTGTCTAATAATTACATCATTGTTAAAGAAAAACAAAGCACTGTTTGAGCTTTTCCCAAGAATGTGCATGGTGGGGAGGGGGGGAGGAGAGGGGAAGAAAGCTGTTTTGAAATATAAAACTAACATTTTTTGGAATGTGAATATAAACGAAGAAAGTTGTTGCCTAGATGCATTTGTTGCCCAGCATCCTGGTCCTGGTCCTGGTCCTGGTCCTGGTCCTGGTCCTGGTCCTGCTTCGGGGCTGGTTGATCCCAAAACGCTCGTGAAAATATCACCCGCGCTAGTGTCAGCGCAGTGAAGGCAGCGCCAGCGCCCCGTGCCGAGCCATGCCAGCCCAGAGGCTTCGGCGATGGGCACAGGAGCATCCCGCAGAGCCCAGGCAAGGGCGTCCTTGGATCCTGGTGCATGTGATGAGGCCTTTTGGGGAGAACAGTCCTTTTCCTCCGATTTATTAACCGGTGGCTTCCAGCCACCCCGGCAGGGACGTGTGTGCTTGCTATAGGCAGGGAAAGCTGCACGGCAAATGTTAATCGGGTGATTATTTAAAACAGCAGATGCCTGACACGGGTAGTGAGAAAAAAATTCCTAATAGTAATTTAATTCAATGTTTTGTATAATTATCTTGAAGGAAAGGTCTCATTTATTCTTCCAATTAAAACTGATTAGATCGGGGGGAAAAAAAGCGAAGTGAAGATGCCTGCCTTACTGATCGACCTGTCACAGCAGAATAAACAGCGGATTTTAAAAATAATTTCTTATTTCATGTAGAGATTGAACTCCTCCGACTGGGTGGCAGGAGCAGCTCAATAAATCCTGGTTTGCTCGCCACAGTCCGCTGCTAGGTGCAATTAGGAGATTCCTTCGTTAACACCATCCCTCCCCTCGCCGGCCCGGGGGCTTTGCTGGTTCGCCCGTGGACCAGAGCAGCCAGGGGGTGCAGCGTGGGTGAGAACCCCGCGGCCTGGCCGGTGGTGCCGCCCCGGGGAGGCTTGGGAGCCCCAGTGGGAGCCTGCGGCCGGATCCTGCACCTCCCGGAGACTTTGCTGTTTGCAGATCCGGGGGGTCAGGCTTCCTTCCCTGCCTTACGGCGGTTGGGCTGCCTTACGGCGGTTGGGTTTCAATGGCCGTCAGCATCGCCCGTAAATCCGGCCGCTTTCCCGTCCCGCTCCCCCAGTCCCGTTCTCAAGCACCCGGTATTTTATTCCCATAAAATTGCTTTGCTATCAAACGATATCCCGGTGAGAAGTTACTTGGCTCATGCCCAGCAGATCTCCTGCCAGCAGGTTGTCCCTCGTCTGCGCCGTCCCCAAACTGTCTCCGTCCCGGTGACATGGTGTGCACGGGCCCGGGTGGGCGTCCAAAATTAGCCCGGGTGCTGCAGGGGAGGGTCCCTTCAGGCTCAAATGAGTCATCCCTAAGACTGTGGTGATCTGAAATGAAAGATCATAATCAACTGGCTTGATATTTCACAATATTTTTTTCAGAAAAAAGGGAATTATTTTTTTTTCAT